TTGGTGTTTAGTCATGCCGGCCACATGACCACGGAAACGTCTTTGGACAGCGTTGGCTCTTCGGCTTTGAAACGGAGATGAGCACCGCAACCCTAGAGTCGGATTCGACTGGCTTTCGAGCAAGGGAAACCTTTACCTTTTACCTTCACCACGACACCAAACAAGGCACTTGGCAAGACCTTGTGGAGACAAAGAGGACGGAAACTGGATGGAGGAGGACTTCCCCACGGCCACCCCTTTGGGGCTTCCCCAGACCGAGAGTTCCTCTTTGTACCTCGTGGCTAAGAACCACTGATGGACCATCTGGCTAGAGCTGCCGGGGACTGAGCTTGGGTCCTTCTGCCTGCCAGGCAGAGGCTGTGCCCCTGAGCCGCGGCCCCTCCCTCAGAGGACTGGACACGCCCTGCTCGGGACACACCCTGCTGGCCCTTGGGAGGCCAGGGAGCATTTCTCCCCCACTGGCTCTTTTCGCTTGCAAAATGTATGCTTCTGTTATTTACTTGACTTGGACCACCCCCTTCTCCCCAGGGCGGCCCACACTGTTCCCCTCTCCTCCACTCAACCCGTACAACAGCCTTGTGAGGCAGGCTAGGCCAGGAGTCCCAAGATCACCCAGCAAGCCTCCAAGGCAGAGGAGGGACTGGGGCCCCGCCAGACCTTCCTCGACCACCAACCGCCACAGGCCACGCTGGCGCTGAAAGATGCTGCCAACCCCTGCCAGGACATGCACCACTCCAGTCCCCACAGAGTAGCCCAGTGGGGCAGTGAGCTCCTTCAAAGTGCCCCTTCCTCCCCCGAGGAAGAACAAGAAGGAGAGACTGGATCGATACCCCATGGCCCTTCACTACCCAGAGGAGTCTCAGAGCGGCTGACAAACTCCTTTCCCTCCCCCTCCCCACAACAGATATCCCCTGTGAGGTAGGTGGGGCTGAGAGAGCTCTTGACAGAAACGGCTCTTTTTCAAGGACAACTCTTATCAGAACTACGGCTTGCCCAAGGTCATCCAGCCAGGTGCAAGTGGAGGAGGAAGAAAAAGAAGATATTGGATTCATACCCCCCGCCCTTCACTACCCAAGGGAGTCTCAGAGCGGCTGACAAACTCCTTTCCCTTCCCCTCCGCACAACAGACACCCTGGGGGGTAGGTGGGGCTGAGAGAGCTCTTTCGAGGACTGCTCCTGAGAGAACAGCTCTGAGGGAACTTGTGACTGACCCAAGGTCACCCAGCCAGGTGCATGTGGAGAAGTGGGGAATCAAACCCGGTTCTCCCAGATTAGAGGCCGCGCCCTTCACTACGGGAGCTGCGGTGGCTCAAGTGGTTAAGACACTGAACTGCAGGCTGTGGAAGGTCGGTAGTTCGGCAGTTTGAGACCCGAGTGTGCTGCATGACGGAGTGAGCTTCCGTCTCTAGTTCCAACTTCTTCCAACCTAGCAGTTCAAAAGCAAGAAATTGCAAGTAGATAAATAGGTACCACTTTGGTGGGAAGGTAACAGCGTTCCGTGCGCCTTGGTGTTTAGTCATGCCGGCCACATGACCACGGAAACGTCTTTGGACAGCGCTGGCTCTTCGGCTTTGAAACAGAGATGAGCACCGCAACCCTAGAGTCGGATTCGACTGGCTTTCGAGCAAGGGAAACCTTTACCTTTTACCTTCACCACGACACCAAACAAGGCACTTGGCAAGACCTTGTGGAGACAAAGAGGACGGAAACTGGATGGAGGAGGACTTCCCCACGGCCACCCCTTTGGGGCTGAGGAGGACGCCGCATGCACGGGGCTCAGGCACCTTCTCCACGAGAGAGAGTCCTGCTGGCAGATGGCCCCCTGGGGACGCTGAAGCAGGTGGGAAGGCCGCAGGGCAGAAGCCTTTCAGAGCAACAAGAGTCAAAGCGCCGCCTCCAG